AAAGCGATAGATGTCTCAACTGGCCAAGGTTGTTAGGGCTCGACAAATAAGTATTTGGCAGAGTCGTAAACACTTTACCTCTAAAATAGACCACTGAGTTTCAGGCTAAGGAATAGGAATTGAAGATAAAGTATCAGAGGATATAATAGTTGTTATTGGGAGATCTTCCCAACATGCTTACTTTGGATGCATTAGCAAGATGGATGTATTGCCCTGAAGAAGGACATCATGTCTGGTAAAGGGAAGTTCAGCAAAGGTAAGGAAAACCCTCTCTGCAATGGACCAACACAGTGCCCTTCACCATGAACTCAAGCACAATAAGGATGCAGATGTCACAAAACTGAACAATCTTCTGTTCTGTTATACACGCGGTCACCACAAATCAGAACTCACTCGGCGGCAGCTAAGAAGAACATTACAAGAAGAAAGATGATACACAAAAACTCCCACAAATGAAAAAGGAGTTTTGTCATTTTGGTGGCCTGACATTTTATGATTATCAGCCAGTGTTGGCGTCCGAGACCTTTGGAGCTGCTGGCATCCAGATGAGGTAGCAGTAAGGACCAATCAAATGAGTGATTCCCATTGATAGATTAGGATGTGAGCCAGGCTCCTGCTTTGGTGCTTATAATAAACGTGGCCTTATCTAGGTAGTCAAAATCTTAAGTCATAGCATACAAGTAAGCAATGTTTAGTAACTTATTTTGAGTGTGACACCATTTCCTTAGATCTTGTTAGTAGTACAATGGTCTCCCCTCCATGTGGGAGCCCAAATTCCAGTCTCCAGCCTTGTGAAGCCACATGTCCTGTACCAGCGGACATTTGTATGTTGCTGGGAGGCTGAACACATTTCAACATAGTCAAGACTAAGATCAACAAGGAAGAACCAGATTGTCTAGTGATCTGAAAATTAACCAATGAAGGTCCTATTCATTAGAAATATTGGATCCATAATTGAGCATATGTGTATCACAGAGGAGGCAGAATTGTGCATCATTGTACATGAGGTCCCGATGAGTTGGGGCAACCCCATGGCAGCCATCCACAGCACTCACTCACGGGTTTCTTTTTGTGGAATGTTTATGGAAACAGCCAGATTTTTCCTTCTGCACTGCCCATTGAGTGGGTTAGATCAAGGTCTTAAATGAAAAATGGAGCACAAACTATTTGTGCCAACAACCTACACAAATGGTGAAAAAAATAAATAAATGATGCAGTAGTTCAAGAGTGAATATATTTTCCAAGTAGTAAGAAGTTAAGCATAGGAAGCCATAACTAAGTTAATCTGATTAAAACACTGACATACATGCATATACATACAGTTATACATATAATAATGTGATAGGTTTTGTGTCAACTTGACTGAGCCAGCATTCTCATTCATTTGGCAATTAAGGTCTAGTAATCTTCCGTTTTGATACCAAATACAATGTAAAGAACTCCATAATGAGATCTACTGTGAGCAACTAACCAGTTGTAAGAAGATGAGGCAGAATGAAACCCCTTTATACAGATTACAACCTTGGTGAAATTTCCCTGGTAGGGTTGCCTACTGTCTATATAAGTAGACCCATTAGGGTGCTTGCTTGCATCTGCCTGGATCAGGATTCTCCACATAGATCGTAAACATCTAGTCCTTTAGACTCAAGACAATGGCCCATGGGAGTGGCTCATGGTTGCCTGCTGATCCTGGAAGCTATCTGATCTGCTAACTTACCTGCCAATCACTGCCCTTGGGCCATTTATCCCAATACAGGATACAGCAGAATTTCCCCCTTGGGTTTTCAAGCCTGTAACTCATCTTTCCTGGGGAGAACTTGTTGTTTTCAAACTGCTGACAATATAGTTAGCAGTCTAACTCATAACCCACTACACTATGAGGTTTCTACCAATAGATAGATGATAGATAGATAGATAGATAGATAGATAGATAGATAGATAGATAGATGATAGATAGAGATAATTATCAATGGTTTCACTTCTCTAGAGATCCCAGCCTAACACAGCTGGACCTCAAAATATTTTTAGAAGATGAAACTCAAACATGGAATTTCCCCACAAACTTTTGAAGCCCCTTTATATGCAAACATAGTCCTCATATCCCCATGCTAACTTTGATCATGGTGTCTGCAAACACCATCAAGTTTTACTAAACTTCTAATGATTTTTTGTGTGTGTCCACATGGCACCAACACTTGGCATAAGTACAGCTTTTATGTAGGCTTTATTTACTGGGTAACTGAAACTCACTGCTACTGACTCAGCTCAGACCTATATTGAGCTTCAGGACAAAGTCGACTTGCCTCTGTGGGATTTCCAAGACTGTAAATCTTTACAGGAGTAGAAAGCCTAATTTTGCTCCTGTGGCTGGTGGTTTCAAACTGCTGACCTTGAGATTAGCAGCCAATGCATAACCCACTGTGCAACCAGGGTTCCTCACCTGTGTGACTGGGTTCTTAAATTATGATTTTCTGTCTATTAATCATTTTTTCCTATTCCTGAATAGAAATTCATGCATCTAGTCACCATTAAGTATCATAAGAGCCTCTAGTTAATAATTAAAGTGTTAAGTATTATTTAGTAGTAAGAACTTGGAAATCAGTCTGACAATAACCTTCTCTATTTTCCCTTCTATGACCAGTAGTAGAGAAGAGAGAATAATCAGTATCTTTTCTGCTTTTCAATTCACTACCTTCTTCCACTGATCTACTGTCCCCTCCCTCCCAGCTCCCCGTCCTGTACACCAGCAATGAAACAGAGAAGAAAGTCCCATCTTTCCTCTGCAGAGTTGCTGGTGGTTCTGAATTACTAACCCTGCAGTTAGCAATCCAACAGGCAACTACTATGCCACCAGGACTCCTAAAATTATACATATCTGTAACTATTTATGCATTTCATTTTAGAAAGAGCTGCCTATTTAAAGAGATAGACAACACTGGGGAAAAGAACACAAAAAGGCAGAGACAAAGAAATACAATGTGATAAATAACTTAGTTAGTAACCAAAATGTGAACCATGAAGTTTGATAAACAACCGAAAAGTGGGTGAAGGGAGACGTTGGACAGGGCAAGATATGACAAAATAACAATTTATAAATTATCATGGGCTCCTGAGGGAAGGGGGAGCGGGAAATGAGGATCTAATGCCGGGGTGTTAAGTGGAGAGTAAATGTTTTGAGAATGATGAGGGCAATGAGTGTACAAATGTGCTCTACACAATTGATGTATGTATGGATTGTGATAAGAGTTGTATGAGCCCCTAATAAAATGATTAGAGAAAAAAAAAGTTCAAAAAGATTATTTTACTATAAATTTGACTGTAAATAGTCAAACGGAAGAGATAAGCCCACTAAGCTATGAGATGCATGCCATATATTTAAAAAAAATAACCAGTTGCTCAGGAAAAACAAAATTATTCTCAATATTAAGACAAAATTAATCTCATGGGAACTCTCCTTCAGAAGACATTTTTGTAATAAAATGAATGTGCATGATAAAACTATAAACAGTTTTAGAGGGTACCCCCATTTCTTTCTTTTGTTGCTTTAAAATAATATACCTTCGGCCATTTAGATCTATTTCCCAAGAATAACTCTCCTGCTCTGCCCCACTCTATTTCATGAAGGCTTCCTGGGGTTGATGATCTCTGGGTGGCTGCAGTTGCCTCTAGTTCGGCCTCTCAGCTCCTCCTCACTAGCGAAGTCACTTCCCTAATTACATGCTCTATGCTGTATAGACTCAGGGATTTCATCGTACTGCTGGAATTCTGAATTATACAAGCACTGATTACAAAGCAATATCATTTCAGAGCCAATTCCTTGTAAACAATTCTAATAATGGAAGTAACATGTAACATGTTATTTCCTGCATGTTACAAAGGCCGGAAATCTTTAAGCAGCAATGAAAAGCAACACAGAAACATGAGAAAACAAACTCCCCTCAGGCACTCAGGCATGATCTTTGGTAAGAAGATTACAAAACACCAACACACCAGATACTTCAAAGATGGATTGAGCTATGCATTTTCCATGAGCACACTCTCCTGGGAGGACTCGAAAAATGCAATACAGGCAGCAAATCAATGCACCTAGGAATATTTTTCCAGAGAAGCAAGACTCCACCTATACCACCTACCTACAGACAATCATGTATGATTCACCTAAGACTGACCACTGTCAATGTAAATATGGAAGATGCATGCAGAAGCTAATATTTCCTCTTCTCCTTCTTTTTTCATTTCCTAAATATGTAAACTAGAGAAACCTTTAAAAATGAAAACCCTGATAACAAACAGGAAAAAGTTTCAAGATATTCACTAGTGTTACGACGTCACGCCAAAGGAGCTTTCCCCAGGAAATCATAATTAAGGTTACCAAAGAATACCTTCCCATAATTTAAGGACATTTAAATGAAGGCATCGTTTTTTAAGCTAAACTACAAGAAATTTATACCTAGATTTCAATTTCCTTAAGAAGACAGATGAACTGTTAAAACTGTCTAATGTTTAAATCAAAATGTGCTCACTGGAAAGTTCATAGATGGGGGACACCCAACTCACCGGTGTCTCCTATAGTCCTCAAAGGAACAGGCAGTTGACTCAGCTCATAGAGCACACTTATATTACTCTGATATTATTGAAACTTTCAATCAGATGGCCAATGCCTTGTTTTTTTACTCAACATATGTCCTATGATCTTTACATCTCAAATCAACCTAACTCTGCTTTCCCAACAGGAAGAAAAGACTTCGAGTGGAAGATTCAGTTATTGTATCTCCAGATACCATTGCTGTGGAGTCCGTTCCAACTCAAGGGGACCTTCTAGGATGGTTTCACTGCACCATCGAATGCCCGTGACTGTAATCTTAACTCAAGTGGGCAAGTTCTTTTCTCAACCTACAAGATACCATGAGACATTGGCAGAATCAGCAAAACAACACCAGCCTGGGAGATGCCTTTCCCAGTAACGGCGTCCCCTCCCATCCCCTTGGTACTGCACATACCTGAATGACTTTTTAATATCTTCTGCTTGAATTGCCTTGAGAATCTCCTGGTACAACTGACGGTCCTCTGTTCCTGAAGATGCAGCACTTGGAGGGCAATTTTTATGTGCATAATAACCTATCAAAAGTCCAAAAATAAATACAACGGTGGCGGTGCCAAATATTTTCAAAAGACGGCAAAAATTGCAGTGGTTGCTCTTTGGTGCCGATCGCGTATAGCTGGTAACATAGTCAGGGTCTTCCTGAAGCCTCTGGAACCTGCCTTTGGGTGAAGTTGCTGGTTGAATGGAACCAAGATTAAGGTCCTCAGTCTCTGACTGTCCCTGGTTCTGATTCCCAGAACCCTCCAGCTGGAACTGATCAAAACCAGGCTCCTCCAGTTCCTTCTCCATGTCCCACTCTAGATCAAGGGCAGTGGCTTGAAGGTCGTCATTGTCTAAGTATGGCGACTGTCCTGGAGCTCTTTGTTCTGCATTAACTCTCTGATAGGCCATCTTTTTACCTGTGGAAAGCAGATATGTTTCTTTTAACAAACAAAAACTCCATAAGGTTAAAAACAGAAGCAAAACAAAAATATCCCTTACTCGTGGACATAACATTGTAGTGATTATAATCCGAGAAAAGTGTCCTTCCTATATAAATATTAATGATTTAGTCCTAGTTTTGTTTACCTTACTATATGAAAATATGACAGATATAAAAATAGTTGATACTTGATGGAAACAGTTAAAAAAAAATTTAATGACATTCACTATTGGTCTTTCGAAGGATCCCTGGTGGCACTATGGAATAAGCATCGGGCTGTTAACTGCAAGATTAGTATTTCAAACCCACCAGCTGCTCATTTGGAGCTAGATGAGGCTTTTTACTCCTCTAAAGATTGATAGTCCCACAAACCCCAAAGAGCAGTTCTACCCTGTCCTATAAGTGAGCTATGAGTCAGCATCATGTTTTTTGTTTGTTTAAATGAATCTTTGAAATTCAAACCATTTAAAAAAATGAATTCATGATTGTATAAGAGTAAAGATGATGTACAATAATGAAAGAAACATTTTAAATGGTTATAAATTAGATTCTACTAAAAAATTTAAAGACAAAGTCAATAAAACTATGATTTAGAAAATTAAGGAATACAATGAGAGTCTGGGACGATTCGCATTACCAGAGTTAATGGTGAAAATAGCAATTCAAGATAGGACCAGGCAAAACAACTCATCAAAGTGCTAACTCTACAGAAATGCCAAAACCAAAATATGATCTATTGCTAAGCCATTCTTGACCAGAAGGAATGGAAAATTCTAACGTTATCAAGGAATCAGTGACATGAATTGACCTGTCTCAGTGAACTTTAACTAAACGTCCAAGATGGCAGAAATCCAAAGCGGAAGTCCTCTGCAAAACCAGGAGGCTGACTCATCACCTTGACAGAGGAGAGGCCGATGGTGGTCGTTCTCCGTCACAGTCCTGCATGACCTGGGCTGTGTCCTGCAGAGTGGTATTAAGAGAACTGGACTAATGAACCGCAAGTGGTCTCAACTCCACATTCTGTCACCCACCAGTGGATGATGGTTGCAGATTAAGGGTATTTCCAGTTACATTTTCTCTGTACTGGATGTGTTACCTCTGCTGGATTCTTAGGATCCTCACTATGTTTTCTGATTTTTCTTTTGGCCCACTGTGGTGAGTAAAGAGCAGATACTCAATTGGCACTCGATTAGCTAACGGCCTTGGGGCTATGAGCTGATAACCAAATTCCATGGAAAAAGATATAAACAATGATTTCATTAAAAAGAGAGAAAGCATGCTGCATTAAATGCAGGATGGTGGATTTATGCAACTCCATTCTTGGCTGGCAGAGGCCCATTGAATGTTCTTGATGTTAAAAAAAACCTCCAATATAATTGAATATTACATTAAAACAATAAATATCACAATTTTGTATAGAAAAAATTCTCATGCTGAGCTAACATTCTCATATGCTAATCTACTATTCATTCCTACATAAAATTCCCTAAAAACTGAGTCCAATAACCCACCTTCACACCACTCTGCCCCCTCTCCTTTCCCAGCTCCAAATAAATATCAATTGTATGTCAATGTCAGGTGCTAGGCTTGGTAATGAAAACTAAGGTAAAGAGGTCTGCATTCTCTAAGCCACCACCTGTCTGTCATTCTGTCTTTCTGTTGTGGTTTGTGTGTTGTGCTGATGGAAGTTATGTCTCTGATATTTCAAATATCAACAGGGTCACGCGAAGTTGACAGGTTTCAGCAGAATTCTAGAATACTTCATTGGGCTTATGCAGAACTTGTGCAAGCATCCAGAGGGAGTTGTGCAAACAGAACAAGGAAACATTGCATGGTTTAAAATCAGGAAGGGAGTGTGACAGGGTTATATTATAATCTCCCCATACTTGTTCAGTTGGTATGTTGAGCAAGTCATCGGAGAAGCTGGATTATAGGAAGAAGAATGTGGCAGCTGGATTGGAGGAAGGCTTATTAACAACCCATGACATGCAGATGACCCAACTTTGTTTGCTGAAAGTGAGGGAGAATTAGGCACTTGCTGATGAAGGTCAAAGATCGCAGTCTTCAGTATTAATTAGAACTCAATGTAGGGAAGATCATAATCCTTACCACTGAACCAATATGTAACATCATGATAAATGGAGAAAAAGTTGAAATTGTCAAGGATTTTATCTGGAGGAAGGCGTTCAAGGAAATGGATGGACGCAGTGGCTACAACAATGGGCTCAGGCAGAGGAATACTTGTGAGGATGGCGCAGAACACTGCAGGGGTTCTGTTCTGCTGTGCATAGGGTCACTGTGGGTTGGAACCAACGTGATGGCATCTAACAATAACAACAATCACAACGGGCAAAATACTAATGGGCTCAAAAGGCATCAAAAGAAGATGGGGAGAACACAGTCATCACTGTATGCCAAAAAACACAACAGTCCACACTCAACCATTTCAAGAGGTAGCAGAAGAGCAAGAATCAATGGTACAGAAACAAGTAGTCAAAGCTGCATTTAAAACATTAGCCCAAAAGAGAGCTGCGGAAATTGATGGAATAGCAATAGAAATGCTTCAGCAAGCTGGTGAAGAACAGGAAGGAATCACTCTTCTATGCCAAGGAATTTGGAAGATAGCTACTTGGTCAACTACCTGTAAGAGATTGCTATTTGTAACCATTTTAAAGAAAGGTGACCCGAGAAATTGCTAAAATTATAGATCATTATTATTGATATAATATAAAAGTAAAATTCTGCTAACGATCCTCTAACAATGGATGCAGCAATACATTAGCTGCCAGTGATCAGCCTGGATTCAGAAGAGGATGTGGAACAAAGACTATCATTTCAGATGGATCTTGGCTGATAGCAGAGAATACCAGAAAGATGTTTACTTGTGGTTCATTAACCATGCACAGGGATTCAACTGTGTGGAACATAAGACACAGTGGATTACCTTCAGAAGAATGGAAATTCAGGAACACTTCAGTGTGGTCTTTTGGAACTTGTACATGGATCAACAGGCAGTTAAGGGAAGAGAGCAAACTGCGGAAGGCCTTCAGAAGAATCGGAATTCCAGAACACTTAACTTTTCTCATTTGGAACATGTACATGGATCAAAAGGCATATGTGCAAACATACAAAGGAATAGTGTCTGGTTTAAAATCAAGAAAGGTGTGCATGACAGCTGTATCATCTTACTCTAGTTATTCACTATGCAGGCTGAGCAACCTGGAGAAACGAGATCATATGGAGAAGAATGATATGACAAGAAGGAGAATGTGGCATCTGGACTGGAGGGAGGCTTAGCAACACCCAGCGATCCGCAGATGATAAAGCCTTGTTTGCTGAAAGAGAGGAGGCCTTGAAGCAGTTGTTGATGAAGATCAAGGATTATAGCCTTCCATTTGGAATATAAATGACTTTAAACAAAACCAAATTCCTCACAACTGGACCAATAAATAAAATCATAACAAACAGGGAAAAGGTTCAAGTTGTCAGAATTTCATCTTGGTTGGATGTTTCATCATGGAAGCAGAAGTCAATAGATCAAAGGACACAATGCATCAGACCTCAAAGGGTTGGAAAAAAAGATGTTACTTTGAGGACTCAGTAAGCCTGACCCAAGCTATGGTATTTTCAATTGCCTCATATGCATATGAAAGTTGGAAATTGAATAAGGAAGACCAAAGGAAAACATGACTTGAACCCTGGACTGCCTAAAGATTGAACGGATTTGGTGGAAGTATAGCCGGAAAGCTATACTGATGGCAAGACTCCACCTCATGTACTTTGGACATGTTATTAGGTGAGACCAGTCCCTGGGAAAGAACATCACGTGTGCCAATGTGGCTAGGCAGCAAAGAAGAGGAAGGCTCTTATGAGACAGATTGACACAGCGGCTGCAACAATGGTCTCAAATATAAGAACAATTGTGAGGATGGCATAGGACCAGGTGGCATTTTATCCTCTTATGCAGAGCGGAGTCAATGCCACTTAGCAAGAACAAACACGAACAATTTCCAAAGCAGGAGACCTTCCAAATAGAGGGACAAATATACAAACAAATACATCAAACTATGCAGTGTGTCGAGTAGCACAAAAATAGGAACGATTGATTTTAGGTGATAATACCTACAAGGATCCCCTAAGAAAGTGACATCGGAAATGTTTCTCACAAGCAAAAAGGAGATACATGTTGGGGGGGTGGGGAAATTTAAAAATGCAGAATAAATTGTATAATTCTGCAAGACTTGTGGATAAATTGCGGAACCTGTGTGATATTCAATGACACATTTCATATATACTGCACATAGGTTATAGTTTGTTTACACTCTATCTGTACAGATGAAATATCCATGTGATATGAAATCTGCTATCCTGCAGGCATGTGTTTGGAACTATGTATTAGAACAGAATCAAGCAGGATGAATCAATAGCATGTCTCTTCCTTCCTGTCCTATTTTCTTCCTTCTTCCCTCCCTCTCTGTGTACCGATGCTCAAAGTGATTTAAACGAGTACAGTACAAATGGTCCAATGGCTGGCTGCTAACCAAAAGGTTGTCAGATCAACTCTGCTGAGAGGTGCCTCAACTAAAGATCTAGTGGTGTGCTTTAGAAAGAGTACCACCCTTGAAAAATCTATGGCGCACAGGTCTAGTCTGATACATACAGGGTCAAAATGACTTGGAATAGAGTCAATGGAAACTGGAGAAAAACAACAGGATTTGGGATGATGAGGACAAGGGCATACTATATGGACTTGAGATAATTATTGTGGTAATGTGGTGAATAATTAAATGATAAAGATGCAATATCACACTTGGTTTGAAGAAAATGGTTAGGAGAAAATAGTAGAGGATGGGCAAAGCCTAAATGTAATGGAATAAAGAATTTCTAAAATTCATGATTCTGTACCCTTCATATTACAGAAGAGGAAACTGAGGCTTCAAAATGAATAATTCAGATAAGACTGAGAAAAGTGCTATTTGAATATTTATCCCCAAGGTGACTTGTGGGTTTACAAAATTTGAAACTACTGGTTGTTTGTAAGCTAATATTAACTCCCCTTTATTTTAATG